TCCGGCTATAGAGGTCCCGCAAATTCATGGAAGTGGTGTCCACATTTGTTGCAAAGGGGCTTCACTTTATATCCATTTCGGGGACCAACATGTTTGGCGCAGCTTCGCAGTGTCGGATCCAGGTGTCCTCTTCATCTTCCAAGAAAGCGCTTGGCTCCTCCCTGAAGTCGTGAATACGTCGAGGCCTCACAGGGACACCCCAATCTTCGTCACCGATGTCCGCGTTGAGTTGCTCGTCCTGGACCGGGTTGTGACAAAGTGTAGTCATAGATTAATAGAGCAATCCAATCATCAAAGAGATTCTATGCTGCCAAATGACTAACTGGCTCTGTTCTACCAGAGACTCTGCTCTACCAAAGGCAAGACTTTGGGGACAGCGTGAACGGAATTTGTCCGGTCTGTGGATGGTTTCTGCTTGAACAATCCTGATGAATAGCCACCAATGAATTCTAAGACTAGTCCAGGGAGAACTAGAACAATCAAACATGGAGAGAAGCAGCCTTTCAAGGATTCATTCAAACATGGTCGCTCCTCCTCCCTTTGGCGAAGGCCCACTGCTAGGCCCACCAACAGCACCGAAATTGCACCGAGAAAAGCGCGTTCCGAGTGACGCACCATTTCCTGCGATTTCACGCACAACGCTGGGAAGTTGGAGACGAATGTCCCCGCTTTGAATGCAAACAGCTGCAAGAAACGCAGGTGCCAGCGCCCTGGTGTTCCGGCACCTTCAAATATCGATATCCCAATAAACATTTTAGACCGCCATCAGAGCCAAATGATTGGCACCTCCTGTGGACCCCCCCCATTGATCATTTAATACAATCATATACAACGTACTATAATGTAATATATATATATATATATATCTCTTGATAATATAATATACTATACAATCACATAATACTATATACGTACATATACAATCATATAATAAAAGACATCTGTTATGTACTTCGTGCCATACTTAGTGCCCATCTCAGACCGATTTCTGCATCCTCCGGGTCGCACCCCGGTCGCCCACCGGAACCGCCATGCTCAGCCTCCAACCAGTCGGGCTCCGCCGGCTCCTCTGGTGGAAAAGCGCCTACGGCCGGCCACCGAAAGGGTACGACGATCCAAGAATTTAGATGAATTTAGTAAAACAACCAAACACTTTGGGTCCCCACATCGTGGTTTTATTGTGTTGTTTTTCTCAAATATATTGTTTGTTTTATTATTGTGTTCTTTATTGTTCTTTCTTTGGAGCCCAAAGCAACCAAAGCCATTCAGGGTGATTCAATGTGATTCATGGTCATTCAAGTTCAGTCACTAAGTGGTTACCATTCAATTCATCTCCATGAATGATTTGTTTGACTGTTTGACTCAGCCTATGGATGCTAAGCTTGATGAGCACGAGCAACCTCTCTTTTTAATGGCAATGAGGGATGTGTCCAAGAAATATTTTTTCTGCCTTCAACACAATGACAAATCATATATCTGATATTATCTGAGTCCTGACAGAGTGAGGCTGGCGTTCTGTGACAAACAATCACGGAAGCACAAGTTCATTTTCATATTTGTTGAACACATTGACAGGTCAAAATGGAACAAAAGCCAGGCTTCAAGTTTGAACTAAGGATTTGTGCCAGCTTGCCAACCAAATGCACATGGACCAATCTTTATGCTGCAGTAGGGGTTGGTCAACCCGCCCTCAGTTGAAAAAGCTGTCTCAAATGACTCTGGGTCAAAACGTAAGGAACCAAACCCCAATGCTTTGCTTGGCTCAAATCGTTTTACTATGTTAACCAATTACCAATGTGTGTGTAACCCTTGTAGTCACAGGGATTCTTTTGAGTTGTTTTAGTCTGCAGGGGGACACAGCATTTCACTGGGACTGTGTCCAACGAAGCTACCAGTGAAATGGGATATCCAGCTTGGCCAGCTGGACGTACCTGCAATTTTCCAATTTTCCGAATGGCATGAGGCTAAGCCCAGAACCTCCTGACATGTTTCCTAAGTAGCCGCCGACTTGCACGCCACGACGTCATCTTGTCGGTTCGTCGCTCGTCTTCTTCCTTTGGGCCCTACTTCCTCTTGAAGGCCTCCAGGATCCAGTGGTACGTACGTGCACCCTTAGGAACTGGAACCCTAGGCCGGCGTGTGGCACCGCTTTCCGTTCCGTATGCATATCCATGAGTGTGTTTGGCCTCGTGCCAACCCGGGATGAGCCCGCAGAGTGCCTCCCGTGGACCCGTTGAACGGGGGTTTGTCGAACGCAGATGTCCGCAGCGGACAGCAGGTGGCTTAGGCCGAACGTACGATGATTTTTGTCTCATCTTTGGAATTCCAAGTTGGCTCATGCCTTTACGTGACCGAAGCGGTCAGAGGTGGCCGCCCTTGGGCATGCCGTACGTGGTCGCAGCGACCGAAGTTTGTTCAAGGTTCATTGAAACCTGTCCCATTCTTAGGCGCACACACAACGTATACATGCAAACAAGGCGAGGTCTTCCTAGGTGTTTCTAATGAGGTTCGGCTTCATCGGTTCTCGTCCCCTCCATTTGGTTCCCCTTTTCATCCTTTCCCCTTTTACACACCTTTTGATTCCTCTTTTCTTTCATGTCCTCCTGTCTTCATGTCTGGTCATCTCATCCTTTTCTTCGTTTGCGTGCACATTGGTCCCGGCCTTAGTGTGTACGTGCACTTTTACATACCTTTAAACACAGGTTTCAGGTCGCCCAGGTCTTTACAATGAGGTGGGCTTCATCGGGTGTCCCTGTGCACTTGGTTCCCCTTTCATTTCAACCACACGCACCTTTGTCCCGTCTCGTCCTCCTGTCATGTCTTCATTCTTTTGTCTTGTGCGCACACACGTGCACATTGGCCCTCACCTTAGCTTTACGCCTCCCCTCGGGGAGGCGTGTGTGTGTAACCCTTGTAGTCACAGGGATTCTTTTGAATTGTTTTAGTCTGCAGGGGGACACAGCATTTCACTGGGACTGTGTCCAACGAAGCTACCAGTGAAATGGGATATCCAGCTTGGCCAGCTGGACGTACCTGCAATTTTCCAATTTTCCGAATGGCGTGAGGCTAAGCCCAGAACCTCCTGACATGTTTCCTAAGTAGCCGCAGACTTGCACGCCACGACGTCATCTTGTCGGTTCGTCGCTCGTCTTCTTCCTTTGGGCCCTACTACTTCCTCTTGAAGGCCTCCAGGATCCAGTGGTACGTACGTGTACCCTTAGGAACTGGAACCCTAGGCCGGCGTGTGGCACCGCTTTCCGTTCCGTATGCATATCCATGAGTGTGTGCAGCCGTTGCACTTCCAGTCAAATCGAGCACAAAAAGAACCTGACCAACGCACGCCGCAAAGGCCACGCTGGGGCCTGGACACTCCGTTCACCGGGACTTTCACAGGCAGCTAAGGGCGATACCAATTGGGTGGTGGATTTGGGTGGAGAAACACAAGAAACACGTCTCCTCCTGCCGTCTTTATCGCCGCATCCGATGAACCAAAAACAACCCTTCCACCGGTCACACCGGATCGATGTCTCCCACGAGTACTCCGAGTCACACCTGGATCTGTGGGCACTCGAGGCCATCTCTGAGTCCATCCGTGCGTCATCTGCTTCCAGCAGAAAAGGCCTCTCTTTCCGACAGAGGCACGTGGCGCTATAGGCTTGAGGCGACACAAAAAACATTTCGAAGCGGCTTATACATCGAAATCGAATGAAACACCAACCGCGGGGTGGAGGAGGTTCTAGGGTTAGACAGGTCTAGTCAGGGCCTACTCAGGGCAAAAAGCAGTCCAAAGGAGCTAGTCCAATGTCCGCTTTTCTGTGACTAACGTGGAGCATTGTGGAGTCATTTACTTGGCTTTCAGTTAAGTCTCTTGACCCCCCGTCGCGGCGCTGGCTAAAAAGAAAGGACCTTTTGAGCCTACTTCGTCCTAGTTCGCCGCCCAAGAAGATCGCATCATATGCCTACTGGCTGCAGCTCCCACAAGCCCGCTGTTGCGAAACGCAGTTCAGCTCACCCGCCATTGGATATGGCCGATCCAACCTAAAGTTCCCATGAATGCAAAGACTTTGAGGGGCAGTTGACCAGGCCTCTCGGAGGAAAAGTGCTCCACCCGAATCATTTGCCAGACTTCTCGTAGCACAGAATCCTTTCTTAGAGGCCCTCGTGCCTCCCGGCCTGTTCACATGCTCCAATGGTCCCGAAATGTTTCAAGTCCAGAAGGAGTGGTTGAAGTATTTTCCCAAAAGTGACTGACGTGCTTCGTAGGACATTTGGTATCATTTGGTCCTAAGGACTCGATTTCAGGGAGATCCTTCCCTCTGCTTTCATCCGCACCAGTCAGGCGGCATCGCTACTAGTAAAAAGAAGCTACTAGTAGCTCCTGGCATTACTAATTACTAGGAGCAAGAAGCTACTAGTTACTAGTAGCTCTTCCCATTCGCTGCCTGACGATTCCCGGCCTTCCGAACTCGGCACCACCTGAGCGAATGCACCGTTGTGCGGCCTTAGAGTTCCGTCACCGGCACGGCCGTGAAGCCATGTGGCGAAACCGGGCTCTGGATCAAGCAACAACTTTAGAATTTAGAAGTCTTTCTTGTTACTCGTAGCAAGAATGCTCCGTTCGTAGCGATGCCCTTTGCTCCTAGTAGCTTCTTGTTCCTAGTAGTGATGCCCTTGTTACTAGTAGCAAGAATGCTCCTAGTAGTATGGCCAGGAGCCCCTAGTAGCTTCTTGTACGGATTTGTAAAACCCCTTTTGTTTTTGGGGCGTTGCTTGATCAAAGCTCTAGAAGAACGAGGGAAGCAGCGAAAACATGGTGGGTTGTCTCATACGGGAATTGGTGGCTTTTGTCGCACTGCGGTGTAGAAGATCGTACTACGCACCGTCCATTATGACAAAAAGGACGAGAAAGTCAGTGAACTCTTTTCCAAGCTATTGGTTCATTTGCAATTCATTCCTGCATTCCAGGAGCACAAACACACACACACACACACACTCCGGTCCCAACTCCGGACCAACTAAGTTCTGCAAAACCAAAAAGAGAGTCCACTTGACTTGAGCACGCCAGTTCCAAACCCCTCGCGCGCTGCCTCATGGCCCCATGCCCCCGTCTGCAGTGCCCCGTCCGCAGCTCCAGGTTCTCACCCGTTTTGGCCCAACGCGAGCGCTCACGGGGCCGGGTGCCCCGAGGTCTGAGGAGCTGCTCCAGCCGAGTAGATGGCCAAGCCCCCGATGGCTCCAACGGCTTCAATGACGAAGATGATCAAGAGCTGGCCAAGGCAAATGATGGGAACATCATGGAACATGGATCACATACGAAACTGACAAAGAACTGTGTCTTGGACTTTGGTGAATCTGGTGTCTTCGTTTCTGTTCATACTTGGAGGGCCTCGCTCGAAGACCAGGTTCGATGGCATCTCAGGACACCTGTGGCACAAGGGGGTCTCCGAACGGATACCGTGGCGGCAAGACCAAGGCCTTGTACATAAAGATCCCCTCAATCCTTTGGGACATTTTGGGAATATCTTCGAACTCATGGGAGATTATCCCTGCCATCTTGAGAGGGGCACATGGGCACTGTTGCGGATGACAAGCGGAAATGCTTGTTCTGCACATGCAGGTGCTTTTGATTCCTTCTATTTGCACTGGATGGACTGGAAACCATCGTTCGTGTACTAGAAGGCCTTTGTTTTTACCTTCAAGCAGCCTTCGGTCGAGCCGGTAGCCTTCGGTACGAACGAAGGCCATGCAAAAGTATATATGCCCTACAGGTTGGAGCCCAAACACCAGCTTTGTGAGAAGATCCAATCATCTAATATCATCTAATCACTTCTTTCCAAATGGGTCGGTCTGTTCGATACTTGCTTTGAAGGGGCCTGCTGCAACCAGGTTTCTGAGCAGCAGCATAGTACACACAGCAACAGCATCGCCACCTTCTCAAGTAGACTTGCCTCCAACAACACAAATCCCTTTGATCTGAGTTGACCAGAATGCCTCTTCGCCAGACAAGCGGGCAGCCATGGGGCGGCATAGCATCTTCTCCTCAACGACTGAGTAAAGGAAATGGGTGGCTTTGCGATCTGATCTTTACATTTTCCAATTCCGGCTATTTGGCTTGTCGAAATTTTACGGGTGGCTACACGAATAAGAAGGGTTGGGTAGAGCACGAATAGAGAAGCGAGTCTTTTGACGGTTGGACATACAAGTGCACCAGTTGATCAACAATAGATTGATCTCAATGGCTGCACATCTATATTATCTATATAGCTTGTATAGTTTCCAGCGTTGCTTTTTTTCAAAATCTTACGATTCGAACCACCATTGATGTATATAAGAGCCTTTACCGAACAACCATGTTTTACTAAGGATTTTAGACTACAAAATACCAGGTCAACATAGGTCAACCATGTTTTTTAAGTGGTAATTGAATCTAGGGGGATCCCTTTGGGCTTGGTCTTGGTCGTTTTCGGCTCCACTTCAGCCAGATGCCCAAGGTCTTCCACCCATGGTCAACCTCACCTGCACAATTTGTCAACATTCCACTCTCAAAGCTGCAAATCTACGGCTACAAAAAACGCCGCACCAGCCATTAGGGGCAACACCTGGCACCCCACAGCAACACCGAGGGCAACACCTGCACTCGAGGACCGCGAGGACCGCGCTTCTCCTCTTTGGACACCAAGGCCTTGAAGTCCTTCAACAGGGCTTGCCTTGGGGACCGAGCTGGGACCGGGACCGAGCCGTCCAGCGGAAAAGACCCACCGGATGCCAAGCACCGAGCCCGTCTTGACCGGGGTCAACAGAGTCAACTGGGTCAGGTGAAGTCCCCTGCTTCCAAGCTGAGTAGGACCTCGGATCCACTGAACCTCTGATCCACTGAAGATGATCCGTGTCGCCTTCGGACCGATGGTCCAGTCGCATCGAGGGGGTCTTGGCACAATCCAGGGTGCCACAACCCCCAAGCCCTATCTCAAAATATCCCAAAGGAGGAAACCAATTGGAACACATGAAAAAAATACATCAAAATCCCATCAACTTCAATGTCAAGAGGGGACACGTCCACTTGTTGGGTCCTGTTCAAGGACTCACCTGCTCTGCAGGGTGCCGTTGACATCCGTTGACTGGTCGTTGTCGGAATTTCCTCCCCCGGTTCTGAATCTGGCTCGTGTGCAGCTCACCCTGAAAGTCAGTTTGACCGTTGGTCATGACTCAGCTTGGTCGGGTAAGAAATGCATCCAGATACAGCATAAGATGCCAAGGATTGTTCAAGGAATTGTCTAAGAAAGTTCGTGGGATGAACTTATGGTCAATTCCTTGCCAATCCATATAAGTTCTGGGTCAAGGAATTGTCTAAGATGCCCAAGCGCGGTTTCCAAGAATCCCAGAAAGATGGTACAGGTTGTTTCTCGAATCCGAAAGTCACCACTCTTCCAACTGAAGACCGTGGACCGCAGGACCAAGCGGCTGTTGCTTCATCAGGCTAATGCCCTTCATCTGCAGCTGAGCAAACGCCGAACTGGCCGATGCGGGGCGGATGCTGGCCGGTTAAGGCATGGCAGGCAACGGTGACCCACGAATTCCCGTGTTTCCATGTGCCTTTTGCTGCAGCCCAGTTTGGAACATCTTCGAACTGCTATATAGGAACCTATTTGGCACCACACTGCTATAGTACTTTGAAGCTATTTGGCACCACTAGCTGGTACCCTTTCAAGAAGCCCCTTTTCACCTAATGCAACCACAACCAGTGACCTCTGAACCCGATGGGCCGTACGGTCGCGCCAAACCCTTCAGGACGACCGATCGACGGTCGCACGGTGCGCGCCGCGTCTCAGACCTCTGTGTGGGGGACTCGTTTGGAGACGTGCGTTGGGATGGTGTAGAGAACATGAGACATGAGAAACCATTTGTCATGGTGCATCCTGGATGGTAATTATCAGGTACTAGACTATATACACCCACCTGGATGATATCAGGTTGGATGAAGGAGTTCTAATGGAGTTCTCAGTCTTTGAAAGGGAGCTTGATTGCGGATCATGGGATCTAGAGCCACAATGAGCCACAAAAGGACATCCCCGACCAGGTTGCACGGTTGCATGGTTGCGATCACATCGTTGCTCATGAAAGACATTCCAGGATGGGAGCTGTCTCAACAATCAGAGCAAACTTTTCATGGCGATTCAAAGCCCTTTCGAGCACCAAAGAGAAGTGACAAAGTCCTGTTCATGGGATGTTCCATGAGAGGTGCTTTCCAATATCGGTGTCCTCAGATTAAAAGACCACGGTCAAAGCGCACAGATCAAACCTTAAACATCAAACATCTCTTCGCGTACAACAAATCAACATAGTTCTTAAAGTCTTAATGTTCTTTTGTTGGACCTTGGTAGTGAACTGCTTCCTAGTGCATCTCCTCCAAACACTGAGTTGGTCTAAAACCACAAGGAGGAGGGTTCTCCACGAGAATGTTTTTTTCTCTCACTGGAATCCGACGGCCAGGATGACAACGCTCATCCAAAGGCTTTGCATGGGGGCGAAGCTCCGATCTGCACGGAGCTGCTCATCAAGTGGCTCATCAGTCACCTGCAGCTTGAGCTGCAGGGAATATGGAAACCGCCGCCTGAACTATCTAAATCCTGCATGATATGGAAGAACCTTCGGTCCATGGAAGTGTCTGCATATCTGGGGGTTGTTCAACATACCTTTTCCCGAAAACTATCCTTGCGCCGGCCTTGGGCGAATCTTGCGCGGATCTTGCGCGAACACAGTAAAACTACATGTTCTATTCAAATAAGTTTTTCGTTTACCTGTTTTCGTGGGTGTGTATGTGTATGTAAACCGCTGCCACAGGCGGAGAGTTTACAAACCACAGGGCAGGGGGCTAGCGACCCATTTCTCGACCTTCCCCGTGTGTGTTTGTTTGCTGCACTGCAGCTTCCTTTTTTTCAAACACTATGCCGAAACAGCTGGCTCAAAGAAGTCGACATGGCCAGTTCAGTTCTACATACATTCGGGCGTGCGCGGATCTTGCGCGAACCTTGCGTGGATTTCGATCCTGTTTTGGCCACATTCCGAAGCATATGGCTAAAACATTATGAAGCAGTTATGGCCTTGCGCCGGCCTTGCGCGAACCTTGCTCGATGCAGGTTTTAGCCTATACCTACTATCAATAAAAAGAATCGTGCTACTAAATTCTGTTATGTGGGTTTTAGATGGTTTTAGAACTTAGAACGACTCCCATCTGAATCTACATCTCTTTCTTCCAAGCGCCCCTTTGCAGATCCCTTGTGACTGGAAGTGATTTTTGCATGCCCCACACCACCAGAACTGTTTGGCAGTTTGTACTGACCTGGAACATAGGAATCTGTTTCCTGTCGCAACCCAGATCTCCAATGAACTAGCAACCAACGTGTGTCACCATGTTGGTATCACTCTGTCTCTCTGTCTCTCTCCCTCTCTCTCTGCCTCTGCAGCTGACATCATCTCCTCCGTTTGGGGTCCCACTCGTGGCACTTGCAGCAAGCTCCATCGGTTTCTCGCGGCACTGTGGCGTTCTTCTTCGATGGCTCGAAGTTGACGAAGGCGCTCCTCTTCGGGCATATCACCTCCAGGGTTTTGCCATCCGTCCATTTCGACTCATCATGATTCATATAGATTAACTTCGTGAAGACACCGAAGTCTCTTGCCCAAGAAGCCCATTTATGGTGTTGTTCAATGGAAGCAGGGTTAGAATGATGAAATCCTGAAATCCATGTTCTTGATGGGTTGGGCCCAGGTGATAGACATAATGAAACTATTTGACAAATCAAACACACGCAAGGCCAGGTCACCCTTGCTGTCTTGGAGAACGGCATACTTCATGTTCTTGGCAAACCTGAGCTTGGAACGCTCGACTGGCGGAGGGCGACACACCGAGCACCATGCGTGCTGCCAGCAACGCAGTGGAAACGAAAGCCCGGCAAGCGAGAACAGCCATGCAACGCGAAGGAAGCGCACAACATAGAGACGTGTGACATGTGACATATAGATTCAAAACGACCTATCAACATGGAGATCTTGGGAAACACATACCCCAAAACATTCCCAAACCCTCCGACCCAAGCCTCCGTTCCTCCACTCAGTCTGAACCTCTAAATATCCTCTAGCTCCACTCACCGACTTCGTGTCTCCAGCACCCGTTTTGTTCCAGCACACACCGGTGGACACCGGCTCGGCTCCGGTCTGATCTCCGAGGAGCTCATGCATGAAGCGTGACATCAAGCTTCCACTCCTCGAGGACTTCGGAAGAAACGTCCCGGTGAAGTGAAGGAACGAGTTCGGAGAAACCGGTCCGTCCGAAGGATCTTCCGTGGCCACAGGACGGGTGGTGACATGGGCACAGTCTATGGGAAGATCTTGGAACACATGACGCCAACATAACTTGTTTTGAGAGGTTTGCTCTTGCCATCTTGGGAAGCATCATAATTAGTTCAACATTCTGCACTTCTGAGCTTTAGATTTCATGACAAGCACAATCTTGTCTCTCTGCAAGTGGCTGGAGACATGACATCTGGTATGAACAACATAACTCACCAATTCCTCTCAAGCCCACCTATAACATGTTACTACCACTCGCACATCGGTCCACGTCGACGTCGTGCCGGACACTCTGGTCCGAACACGGGAATTCCCCAGGTGAAAAGGATCATCATGCACCACCAATCATGTACAGGGATGGCCCATGTTTCAAGGCGCCGATCCGCACCTATTCCAAAAAGATGTGCTAGAAGAATGCGCGCCGATGGGAGCACGAAGGGGCACGCACCATCGATGCACCCCTGTGGAAGGATGCGGCCACATGCTCGAGGCTTTGTTGAATTGAATGAGCCAGGAAAGGGTTGCGCTTCCGAACTCTTATGCAAATACAACAGTGCTTCACGAAGAATCTTGTATATGTCTCGAAATGTGATCTGTTCCTGATCCCCTGAAACACGAAAACCCGCAGAATGAAATGCGACCGCCAGCTCACAGAATGAGTAGGATTCAGCAGGATGACTTAGCCACTGAAGTTGTTGGAGAAACGTTCGCACACTGATCCATGTTGCTGGCCCGTGTCTCCATGACTTCGGTGCCACCATCACATCTGGAATCTTTGGTTTCCATGAGAATTTTGTCACTGGCGTAGTCCAGTGCCACTGTGGGTACAGAGCCATGGCTTGTGCCTCTGACATTGTATCTGGAACTTCTTGTACGGCCGCTTCACTATCAATGTTGGTGTGCCCAGCATTTGCGGGCAGCAAGGAATGAAGCTGTACCAACCATTGTTGATGTCGGAATGTGGCATGCTTCGCCTGGCGGTAGATCTCCGGGCACACCGGAGCCAAACGGGATGCCAATCTCTTTGCAACACGGTCTGCAATCCTGTTCAATAAAATGTGTTGTACTGTTGTTCCACATGTAGCTGCTTGCGTCTCTGTCAGCAGATTGTCAGCAACTTCTTCAAGCTGATGAGCCGGAATCCACTGAACTTGAAAAGGCGTCGGGTGTACCTGCCGCCGCAACTGCACCAATTCACCAAACCTGGCCCACCATGGCTGACATAGCCATGTAGCCTGAGCACACCCAGTCAGCAGGAAGTCATGAACCTGTCTGACAGCTGATTGACAGTCTGAATACACAATCACCGGAGTAGTTGCCTGACAACAAGCGCGGAAAATAGCCCACAACTCGGTAACAAACGAACTTAAGGCCCAGTGATTCACCATGCCAGCAGAGACCATGCTTCCATCAGCTGCAATAATGGCAAATGTTCCTGTAGCCAACCAGAAGTTTTCGCCATGAATAACTGACCCATCTGTCCACAGCTGGGTGATTTCGCCGGCATGAAAGGATTCTGAAAACACCAGCTCGTCTGACTTTTGGTGCAGCAAGCGCTTGCGAGCAATGAAGAGCGGATGCTCCACATGGCCAAGCATCATAAAGTTTTCTCCGAGTTGATGTGCAACTGGCACTCCAATTTCACAGTGAAGGCTATCACACTCCGCTGTCAGATGCGGCATTGATTCCTTGGTTTGCTTGCAAAACCGGCACACGGAAGTTTCAGCCCATCCTGTGGCTGCCATGCGGTCATTCGTGAGAGAACATCCAACCACTACGGATTCAAAACGCACAGTGTTCGGAACACCAGCAGTAACATCGTGACTCTTAGCAAGAGAAAGACCGGACAGTTGGTGGTCAAAAACACCTTTCGGCTTAAGGAAGTCCTTACGTGGAGTGGTGGAGGCCTTAAGGTAGCATGCATGTCGGCATATTGCCTGAAGGGCCCTTCGAGCATCCTGCGGTGTGAGTTGTTCAAAACTGATAGGTTGGGACCCAAATACTGAAAGCTTTAATCCCTGATCAATCTCAATTCCAAGTGTGTCACAGGCCACACGAAGCCGGCTGGCAAGCGAGTGGGGCAAATTGTGCGGGCTTGAAAAGGTACGCAACAGCTTTGGAAGTAACTCACGCTGAAGAGAACAAGATCGCAAAGCTTCAATGATA